CTTCACCTTTATTTTATTAAATAGGGTTTCTGTGCCTTTCTCTATCTCTTCTCTCTCTGGAACACCTATTTTCAAACATTTGTTTGCTTTATGGTGTCTCACAAGTCTCATAGGCTTTTGACATTCTTTTCCTCCTCTAACTAGAGGGGAAAAAAGATTTGTCTTCAAGTTAAAAAATTCTCTCCTCTAATTGACCTAGTCTGTTGCTGAAGCTCTCAACTGGATTTATCTCATTCATTGAACTCTTCAGTTCCAAGATTCCTGTTTGTTTCTTTTTTATGATACCTCTTTGCTAAATTTCTCATTCAGATCATCAACTATTTTCCTCATTTCTTTGAATGTTTGTCTGTGTTCACTTGTATTTCACTGAGTTTCCTTAAGATTATTTGAAATTCCTTTACAAGCATTTCATAACTGTCCTTTCCTTGGGCATCTGTTACTGGATACTCACTGTATTCCTTTGGGGGAGTTATGTTTCCTTGCTTTTTAATGTTTCTTTTGTCCCTATGTTGATGTCTGTGCATCCACTTGAGTACCTGCTTCCAACTTTATGAAGTGAATTATGTAGAAATGACTTTTTCCTGTAGGTGAGTCCAAGGGTGTCTGTTGGATATGCTGCATTGGCTTTGGTTTGGGGTGGACTCAGTAGTGTAGTCTCTATGCAGTTTCTTTGGTTGTAATCCTCTTAAGTGATGGCTATAGGAGTTTGTGCCAACATTGTCACTGTTTTGCTGAGTTAGAGACCCCAGACTTGTTACTTCAGGTCTCTGTAGGCACAGAGTACCAACTGTCTATCTGGTGGTCTCTCTGAAGCACAGAGTTGCTGCCTGACCAGCTATTGAACAGGCATGGACATGCAGCCTTGAGTTTGTCTCTCCTAGGAGGGGATGTGCTTCCTGACCAGCTTTTGGGCTGGAAACAAGTGAGCACAGGTCCAAGATCAGGGGGTCAAGTGGCTCTGCAAAGACCTGTCAATGGAATAGATGCCACTGCCTGGCCAGGAGTTGGTGTGCACAGGTCCAAGACCAGGTGGCTCTTTGAAGGCCTGCCAGAGGAGGTGAAGCTACCACACAATCCACGGTCAGTCATGGAACAGGTGTACACTGGTGCAGCAGGGCCTGGAAGCTCTGTAGAGGGCCACCAGATCAGCTGTCAAGCCTAGAATGAGCCTGCAAAGATGCAGCAGGGCCTGGAAGCCCTGTAGAGGCCTACCATGGGAAGGCAAGCTGCTCCTTGATCTGCTGTTTGTCAGGGAGCAGGTGTACACCAGTGCAGCAGGTTCTGGCAGCTCTGTAGAAGGCTGCCAGATCAGCTGTTGAGCCTGAAGCAAGCCTGCAAGGACTCAGCAGGGCCCAGTGACTCTGTAGAGCCTTGCTGTGGGAAGACACAGCCACCACCTGATTCACTGACAGTCAAA